GGAATAGAGGGATACAGTAGAAACATTTAAGGGGCATGTGGACAGGTGCATGAATAGGCAGGGAATAGATGGATGTGTAAAGGCAAAAGGTTTTTAGTTTAGAAAGGCACGTGTGTCAGTACAGGCCTGGTGGGCCAAAAGGCCTGTTCCTGTACTGTTCTGTGTTGTTTGAAGCAGCTGTGGGGTGAGTGCAGATCCTGTGTTTGTTTTATTTACGAGGTAGGTTGGAGGGTTGTTTGCTGTTTGCTGACCGGCCTGTCTGCCTCGACAGGGGGAGTTCTGCAGCCAGGGCGTCCGCGAGGGCCTCATCGTCAACTTCATCAAGTACATGTGCCACACGGCCCGTCAGTTCTGCGAGACGGCGGGTGAGAAGGGGGCCACGCCCCCGGGTCTCCTCCTGCTGCTGTCCCGCCTCTGCCTGGATTATGAGACGTCCACCATCAGCTACATCCTGACCCTGACAGACGAGCAGTTCCTGGGGCAGGTGAGTGACCGGGCCGTGGGCTCAGCAACAGGTTCACTCCCAGCATGGGCAGTGGGGACCGTCCTCGGCTTCCCATAAGCATCGGCTGGGGTGGGGGCTGCAGCAAGATATTTTAAGAAAGCAAGATTCGACCGTGAGGCTCTGAGTGAGCAAACGCATTGTTAATGGATAACAAAAGAACAGAGTATTATTTAAATGGAGAGAAACTGCAGAGAGCTACAACACCAAGGGAATTGGGGATTACTTGTGCACAAAACACAGAGAGCTGGCACACAGGGGCAGCAGGTAATCAGGAAGGGTCATAGAATGTTGGCCCTTATATCAAGGGGGTTGGAGTATAAGATTAGGGAAATCATACTGCAGCTGTACAAGGTGCTGGTGAGACCACGTCTGGAGCACCGTGAACAGTTTTGGTTCCCCTTATTTAAAGAAAGATCTCATTTCATTGGAGACAGTTCAGAGAAGGTTCACCAGGATGATCCCTGATATGGAGGGATTGTTTTATGAACAAAGGTTAAACAGGTTGGGACTCTACCCACTGTGTTTAGAGGGACGAAAGGTGAACCCACTGAAGCATACAGGATCCTTAAGGGGATTGACAGGGTAAATGCTGAGAGGATGTTCCGCCCTCTCTCTATGGGAGAGTCTGGGACCAGAGGGCACAAACTCAGAATAAAGGGCGCTGATTTAAGACTGAGATGAGGAGGAATTTCCTCTCTGAGGGTTGGAACACTTCCCCACTGAGAGCTGTGGTGGGGCAGAGTCAGCGTGTGTATTTAAGGCTGAGACAGAGAAATTCCCAAATAAAAACCGAAAGAACCGTGGGTGCTGTAAATCGGGAACAAAAACCGAAGCTACTGGAAAAGCTCAGCAGGTATGACCGCATCTGTGAAGATAAAAATCAGAGTTAACGTTTCGGGTCCGGTGACTCTTCCTCAGAGATCCTTGATCAGTCACGGGGAAAGGGCAGGAAAGTGGACCTGAGGAATGGCTGATCGGCCATGATGCTATTGCATGACAGAACAGGCTCGAGGAGGCCTACACTTGTTCCTGTTTCATGTGGCCTTGGTGTGTAGCGTATGCAGCCCTGATTAAGAGAGTGAGATGGCTTTTTTTTGTGATCTGCGGCACTGTTATGGACAGAGGAAAGAGATTAACCTTTTACTTTTGTCTTCAGTCTGTGAGCAGAGGTGTTTCAAATTTTTTCTCTCCGTTTGAAACAGACTCTAGCTTGTTTCTCCCAAGCCCTTTGTGTGAAGTCCAATGTTACAGCGATCTGCAACAAATTCTCTTCCGACTTAAATCGGAAGCATGGATTGTTCATGCATTCGCACCCAGGAGGATGACTGTCGCAACACACTCTCATGTGCAAGTATACAAGGAACGGAAAAGGGGGAAAGAGTTAAGAATAACTTAAAACTCCAAAGATATGGATACTAATTCCCATGAGTTTTTGAGATTCTGGAGAGTTAGCTTCCAGTGAGGGTTCTTTTCTGTACAATCTGATTCAGGACGGTGCAACCAGCTGAGGGAGGAGTTGGACAATTAATTTCAATATTGATAAAGACACTGCAACGTGGCATTGACATAGAATCATAGAATCATGGAAACAGGCCATTCAGCTCAACAAGTCCACACCGACCCTCTGAAGGGGACTCCACCCAGACCCACCCCATCCCTGTAACCCTGCATTTTCCATCCATCTAACCTGCACATCCCTGGACACTACGGGGCAATTTAGCACGGCCAATCCACCGTAACCTGCACATCCCTGGGCACTATGGGGCAATTTAGCATGGCCAATGCACCCTAACCCTAATCTTTGGACTGTGGGAGGAAACTGGAGCACCCGGAGGAAACCCATGCAGACACAGGGAGAATGTGCAAACTCCACACAGACAGTTGCCTGAGACTGGAATTGAACACGGGTCCCTGGCGCCGTGAGGCAGCAGTGCTAACCACTGAGTCACTGTGACATTTAGACACTTGGTCCACTTCTGGATGAATATGAAATTTCTTTCAGAACTAGATTTCGAGAAGCTTTACTTGAACTTGGGCCTAGTCATTAGTCTGTTCTGTTTTTTTAGTCTTGTAGACTCAACTCACTGGAATGGTTAAAAGGCAGGGTCCTGAAATTACAATTAGACTTTGTGGGAATTTGTCATGTGATGTGGAAGCCTTTGTCAAATTGAAACTGACTTCTCCAAGAATCCTTTCTCTGACCAAGTGTTCATTTTTTGCCTGAGGAGATAAATGGAAGAATTCAGACTTCTAAAAGTTAGCTTCAATGCCCTATTTAAAAAAAAAAAGACTGTGTTCCTTGTATGAGATAGATTGTGGGCTGTCAGTCCCTTTGCAGACTTGATGAGTTTCATGAGCTACCTTTGTTACCAGCCCCCGCTGGAGGGCTGGTACTGTCTACAGTTTGGTTATGTGTCTTGTCTGCAATTTCGACACAACGCAACGGTGTGAAATTCCAAGATGTCTGAGCTGTGTCCTGGCAATTGCTGATTGGATCTTGCCAAAAATTGTGGACAGTTTGTATTCAGATATGCCATATTTTAGTACTGATGTGGAAATGTCAGTGTTAGACCGGGTTGGACAAAGTCAGAAGGTCACACAACACCCAATGAAGGAGCAGCGCTCCGAAAGCTTTCGATTTCACGTTAACCTGTTGAACTATAACCTGGTGTCATATGACTTCTGGCTATGTTTTAGTTCAGCGAAGTCATTTTAAAAATTAAGAGAAAGCTTAGCATTTTCTTTTTCCCAAACAGTTTCTGAACCCTTACACATCTATCAACAAGACAATGCCAATAATTCTTTTTTTCAAAAAGAGATATGAATTTTTCCCAGGAAAGATTTTCACAAGATTTCACTCTATAAGACTCTTACTGTAACAAACAGACAATTCAAAATACACCGAATGCTATTTAATTTGCAAGTAATGCTCATTCATTTATTGGCGGCCCCTCATAGATGAGGATGACTCAGTTTCCCCTCTCAGGGTGAGTCCATAGGTGGCTGTACAGACCGATGCTGCTACCACAGGCTCTGTTACACTTGGGGGCAGAAGGTGGTTGTGGGAACGGGGAAGCAGAGCGTTGGCGTGTTTTCGCCCGTCTTCCGCTTTTTCCCGACGGCAATTTCCACACCTTCCCGGATGCTCCTCCTCCACTTTGGCCCAGCGATTCCCGGGTGTCTGTGGGAATGCCGCACTTCCCCAGTGAGGCCTTGTGGGTATCCCTGAAGCGCTTCCTCTGCCCACCTGGGGCTTGCCTGGCGTTTCGGAGCTGGGAGTAGAGCAGCTGCTCGGGGAGTCTCGTGTCGGTCGTGTGGGCGATGTGCCCAGCCCATCACAGCCGATAGGAGGGGGTTCAGTGCCTCGATGCTGGGGACGTCGGGCCTGGTCAAGGATGCTGGTGTTGGTGTGTCTTTCGTCCCAGCAGATATGCGTCTTCATTAACCAGTGAACACATTTGTGATACTTTACACCCTATTTTTTTACGTTGTGCCGTCAACCATAGAATCTCAGAGGTATACAGCACGGAAACAAGCCCTTCGGCCCAACCTGTCCATGCTGACCAGGTTTCCTGAACTGAACGAGCCCCGTTTTGTCCATATCCCCCTAAACCTTCCCTGTCCATGTCGTTGTCCAAATGTCTTTTAAATGTCAGATATGGACACTTAAGAGATTCAAGTCAGTAACAGCCAACCTTTTGCCACCACAGTGATCAGTTATTCTTTGAAACTTCCGGGAATATAGTGAGCTCAAAGTCTCCTCATGTAACAACATCCTCATTCCCAGGGATTATGCCTTTGTATCCGCTCTACGTCCTGTGGTCTGTCCAAAGCACTGCTGCTTCTGTTATTAACATCATTGAGTACATTTAAGACTGAGATAGTAGGAACTGCAGATGCTGGAGAATCTGAGATAACAAGGTGTAGAGCTGGATGAACACAGCAGGCCAAGCAGCATCATAGGAGCAGGAAGGCTGACGTTTCAGGCCTAGACTGAGATAGGTTATCAAGGGTTACGGGGAGAACGGGGTTGAGCAACTTATCAGCCATGATTGAATGGCGGAGCAGACCCGATGGGCCGAATGGCCTAATTTCTGCTCCTGTGCCTTATGGTCTAAGAGGAGGACTTTGGGTTCCAATGGAAGGATGAGCTGCAAAAGCTGTGTCCCGCGTCTGCACCTCGCGCGGCCCAGGTGATGCAGGGCTGACGGGTTTGCCGTTATGTGATTCCCTCACCAGGACCATTCCCCCGTCACGTTGGTGACCGTGCTGTGTGCCGATGCGCGGGAGGCCGCACAGAAACTGCTGAATCACTACGTGAAGGTGCAGGGCCTGAATGTGTCGCAGATGCTGCGGAAGAGCGTGGAGACCCGTGACTGGCTCAACACCATCGAGCCCCGCAACGTGCGAGCCGTGATGAAGAGGGTGGTGGAGGACATAACCTCCATTGACGTGCAGGTCAGGGGTTTGGGGGACGGGGGTGGGGTGCCTGTTCCCGGCCGGCCTGAGGGCGGAGGGTGTTAGCGACGGGAGTCCTGTTTAGATGGAGGGGAAAATTAGTTGGTGTTTCTGCTTCTGATGCCGGGATGGTGGCAACTGGGTTTTAGAAGGGCGTGTGGGAGAGCATGCAGGGTTCCTGCTCCTGGTGGGGGGGGGGCATCAGTTAGCTCAGTTGGCTGGACAGCTGCGATGCCAGCAGCATGGGTTCAGTTCCCACTCAGGCTGAGGTTACCCTAAAAGCCCCACCTTCCTGACTTCTCCCCTTCGTCTGTGGCGTTCTGACCCTCGGGTTAAACCCACTACCAGTCATCTCTCCCTCTCTCCCTTTTTCTCTCTCTCCCTCTGAGAGAGGGCAGGCCTATGGACCTCTGGGTCAACGGTGACTTTACCTCTGCCCCTGCCTGCCAGTGCCCAGCTGGAGGCATGTAAACTTCAGCTCGAAAAGGATTGAACTCCGCTGATGTGCACACACACACACACACACACACACACACACCCCCCCCCCCCCACCCCCACACACACACACACACACACACACACACACACACACACACACACACACCCCCCGACCCCAGCCCTTCACCCTCCTTTCTCCAAATCACTTCAAAGCACTCAGTTATCAAAGATCAGTGGACCCTTGAATCAAGTACCAGGAGGTTGCAGAACTGTCTCCCTACTCAGATTCAGCAGGAAGTGCAGCGACACCTGCATTGGTGTAGGGACTTACTGTCCTACAGTCACGGAAACGGACTCTTCGGCCCAACCAGTCTGTGCCGACCATAATCCCAAACTAAACTACTCCCACCTGCCTGCTCCTGGCCCATGTCCCTCCAAACCTTTCCCGATTCATGTCCTTATCCAAATGCCTTTTAAACATCGTAATTATATTCACATCCACCACTTCCTCCGAAAGTTCATTCCACACACGAACCGCCCTCTGTGTGTAATAATTTGCCCCTCGTGTCTTTTTAAATCTTTCTCCGCTCGCCTTAAAAAAGATGCCCCCCAGTTTTGAAATCCCCCACCCCATGGAAAAGACACTTCCCATTCACCTTATCTATACCCCTCATGATTTTATAAACCTCTATATAAGGAGACATCTCAACCTCCTATGCTCCAGTGAAAGAAGTCCCAGCCTATCCAGTCTCTCCTTATAATTCAAACCCTCCATTCCCAGCAACATCCTGGAAAATCTCTTCTGAAGCCTCTTCAATTTAATAATATCCTTCCTATAACTGGGTGACCAGAACTGGACACAATACTCCAGAATAGGCCTCACCAATATGCTGCACAACCTCAACATGACGTCCTAACTCTTATACTCAAAGGATTGAGCAATGAAGGCAAGCGTGCTAAACACCTTCTTAACCGCCCTGTCTACCTGTGACGCAAACTTCAAAGAATTATGTACCTGAAACCCCAGGTCACTCTGTCCTACACCACTACCCAAGGCCCTACCATTAATAGTATATGTCCTGCCCTTATGTGTTTTACTAAAATGCAATAGCTCACATTTATCCAAATTAAACTCCATCTGCCACTCCTTGGCCCTTTTCTTTTGTTTAGTCATTTGTGTGATGTGGATGTCACTGGCTGGGCCCAGCATTTATTGCCCCGTCCCTAGTAACCACTTGAGAAGGTGATGGTGAGCTGCCTTCTTGAACCACTGCAGTCTGTGTGCTGTGGGTAGACCCAAAATGCCCTGAGGGAGAGAATTCCAGGATTCTGACCCAGCGACACTGAAGGAACGGCCGATATATTTCCAAGTCGGGATGGGGAGTGGCTCGGAGGGAGCTTGTAGGTGGTGGTATTCCCATGTAATTGTTTAGTTTAGGATTATAGTTTGAATGTTTTCCTTGGAGCATGAGTATCAAGGACATCCCTGTATATTGGTGGAGTCAAGATTAGTGGGTGGGTGGATAAGTGTGTGGGGAGGCAGGAATGCAGCGTTTGACCTGGAGTGTCAACGTTCTCCTTTGCTTCTTTCTGCTGTTAAGGTCGGTTTGTTGTACGAGGAAGGAGTGAGGAAGGCACACAGCAGCGACTCCAGCAAGAGAACCTTCTCCGTGTATAGCAGCTCCCGTCAGCAAGCACGCTATGCCCCGAGCTACACCCCCAGGTAACTGTCGGGTTGTGGAGGGGGGCGCAAGAGTGAGAGCGAGCTGACTTATGTCTCTGTTCTGTGTCTTTAAACGATGTCTTCGGTCCTGGTTCTCTTCACAGTGTCTGCTTCACACAGGCAGTTGGGGAACAGCTTTGAGTTCTCCCTGGGGCTTTTTTTCAAAGTAAGACAAAAGAGTCATGAGTGGGTGGGCTCAGTCTCCCAACGACCCAAAAGGACCTCGGTTTTGCTTTCAGTTAAATTTCTGGGTTTTGCTGGCAGCTAGAGCTTGAACTTCAGTTTTTTGCTGCTAGAGTGAAGTCTTAAACATAAGGCTTTCCCCTTAGAAAGTTAAAGGGGCGGATTGTTTTATTTTTCTTTTGGTGTTTAGTGTCTACTGGACTGGGGAGGGACGGCACATGAGAATAAAAACAGTTTTACAGTGTCATGGAGTTTTACAGCACAGAAATAGATCCTTTGGTCCAACTCATGCACACTGACCAGATATCCTAAATTAATCTAGTCCTATTTGCCAGCTCTAAACCCTTCCTATTCATGTACCCATCCAGATGTCTTTTAAATGTTATAATTGTACAAGCCTCCACTACTTCCTCTGGCAGCTCATTCCATACACGCACCACCCTCTGTGTGAAAAAGTTGCCCCTCAGATCCCGTTTAGATCTTTCCCTTCTCTCACCTTAAACCTATGCCCCTCTAGTTTTGGACTCCCCCTACCCTGGGAAAAAGACCTTGTCTATTCACTCTATCCATGCCCCTCATGATTTTATAAACCTCTATAAGGTCACCCCTCAGCCTCTGACGCTCCAGGGAAAATAGTCCCAGCCGATTCAGCCTCTCCCTGTAGCTCAAACCCTCCAACCCCGGCAACATCCTTGCAAATCTTTTCTGAACCCTTTCAAGTCTCACAACATTTGTCCTCTATCAGGGAGACCAGAATTGAATGCTGAATTGCATTTGCCAAAGTGTGTGTTTATGGATGCTGCCTATATTGGAGCAGTTGAATAATTAGTCGTTAAGTAATATATTATTGAGTGTTTCAGTAGAGCAAAGTTATGCCACATCATCTTTTTTTGTATTTTAACTGTGTAGTAAGAATAAAGTGTGTTTTGAGTTGTGGCTGGATCGAATCATAGCTGGAACACAGTGTACCACTCTTGCCTTTGGAAAAAACATGAAAGTGAGGGTTTGGGCTGTCTCGATATACTTTGGGGGTTCTGCTGTGGTCAGTAACACGGATATCAGACTGCTGAACTCTGTCACGGTCCCTGCCCTCGCCTCACTGTGCGGTTTTTACATCTGGTTTATGACAAACCCGTTCAGCTCCTGTTAACTCTCTGCCACTGCAGTGCTCCTATGGACACCAACCTCCTGAGTAACATCCAGAAGCTCTTCTCTGAGAGGATAGACATCTTCAGCCCCGTCGAGTTCAACAAGGTGAGTATCTTTCTCTCCTCCTGTTCGGATGTTTGCTCCTTGTTTGCAGGTTTGCACCTCCCCATCCCCTGGTTGCTCAGTCTGACTCTCATGTCTGGTTTGACCCAGTGCCTGCTGCCCACCAGACCCCGTGCTAAATTATCCCATAGTGCACAGGGATGTGCAGGTTAGGGTGGATTGGCCGTGCTAAATTGTCCCAT